AAAGATAACATTTGCCTTGGTTAGATATACAAAGTAGATTTCACACTAAATAAAGTTTTGCAACTGGGAGATAAATCCTTAGAAGAAAGACTTCTTTTAACATTTGTTCAAAAATAAAGGCAAGTTCAGTAAACTGGTAAAAGTAGAGGGAAAAAACCTCAGAGACCATTTGCAGGCAGTAAACTATTCATTAAGAGGTTGTTTAATTTATCAAACAGGAGTGGGAGAGTCCTCTACCAGCAGGGCTTACTAAATATGAAAGCATGCAGAAAGGTTTAAGAAGAATAAATAGCTATAAGCAGTGACCAAACAGATTCAGATCAGAAGTAGCATATAGATTTTTAAAGAGCAAGAGTCCTTAAACAGTGGAACAAACATTGAGGGAGAAGCGAGGCAGTCCCTGTTCTTTAAGCGTCTCCAAAGGAAAACCAAATGCCTGTTACAGCATGAGCTTTAGTCACATGTGAACTATAGGACTCCATACAAGGGTAAGAAACCTGCCTGTCTGTAACACAGCAGAGGTCAAACTACGTAATCTGCTGTTTTCTTCTAGCTTTAAATTCTGTGAATGGGCCTGGGAAAATGGCTCTGCCCCAACACCTATTCATCTGGCTCAGTTCAGCTGAGAAACATTCTTGTACGAACACAGAAAAAATTGGCAAAAGGAGTAAAACAAAGCATCAAAAAAACTATGTGTTTAGAGTGAGGCATGAGGGGTAGAAATTATATGTAGCAGACACAAGTAAGAAGTAAACACATGTAAAGTATGATAATTCCATGTATATTTATATATATCATAAACAAAGCAGAGTGAAATTAAAATGAGCAATATGTTAAAAGGAGAAATGTCACATCAAAGAAATAAGATACTTTCAATCAGAAGTGAAAGAGCAAGGGAAGGAAGGGTAAGAGAGGGGGATTAAATTGATAAACAACACAAAAAGCTAATGGCCTGAACAAACAGAAGAGATACAAGTTGTTCAAACCAAAGTTATCCCAACCAATTTATACTCCTAGCTTCAATTAATGACCATTACTCCTAACCCTGGGACTGTGTGCAGTTTACTGCTGTAGTTTTTCAGCCATTTTTATGGACTAAAACATACTAGGCAGCCTCATGCTTTTAAAAAGCTTCTTGGGTTTGTCTCTGCTGCAGCACTGACAAGAACAATATAACTTAACTGGATTCAAATCCACACATAGAAATGTCCAGCTCAGATGTACTGCTGCTTCACATTTGAGCTTGATGAAACAGGGCACGCCAGCAAAGCTTAGGTTGATGCCAGCTTTGCAACTAACAGAAGCTTTACACTGCAGCTGGAGTTAGGGCAATGTATGTATTAATAAACTCAACTCAGTCATGCTATTCTTTGTGCAGCTGGTGCTATTTCTCAGACTGTTTTTCACAGTCTGGCTGCTTCCACTCCTGCTATGTCCAGTGGAATAACTCACTTGGTGCATACGGAGCTGTTCAATTAAAATGTCTCCTAAACACTGAAAAGAAGGCACTCAGCTCTTACTGCCTGATAAACAAGGTGAGGGAAGATCTGCACTCCTGCCTGTGGTTGATCACAGGGTAAGATTAAAATACCTGTACTCACTGTGTTTATACATCAGGGTAACTTGTGCATCCCTGTTGCTATAAAATTAATCTTTCTTCTTAGCAATGAGTAAAAGGCCTTGTTCATTTTAAACAATAATTTCTCATATCCAAATGCTATCAGTGCTTATCTAGTTTGTGAGATTTCACCCTTTAAATTTCAAAGACTCTAGCACCATGTGAAGAAAGATGTATTGTTAAAGAGAAGAAGCTAAGAAAGTTTAAAAAAAACTTAGGATAACTACTTCAAGATAACTATTTTACAGAAAGGATTTGGTCTCCAGGTTGATAAGATTAAGCAATACCATTTTAATTTGTATATTAAATAAACAGATGCCCACCAAGTAAACAGATGTAAACTGGCTAATTCATCAGTGGCCAATTGCAATGATGTTTGTTTCCTTACCTCCTGAGTGCCTGCCTCTGGGTCCGTCATTCCAATCACAGAGAAATCCCCATATCTGTCTCCATTGGCATCAATAGACACCTGCCCTGCAATGCCTAAAGAATGGCATGTGAGGAATTGGAAAATTAATTAGTTAAAATACTGAGCCTTTCCAAGGAAAACAAGAAAACAGTGTACAGGTTTTTACAGACCGGTATGACAGGAAATCTCATCAGTCTCCCAGCATTTTTGTTGGCATTCCAAAAGAAATTGTAATTTCATCTTGGTGTCTGCATTCCTGAATTCTTAACATTTCTCCTTTTTAAATATCAAATGTGTGAGATTGTTTGGGGAATACATGAGAAAAATCTAATCCAAAAGCCAGCATGCAAGAATAAAACACAAATATATTTAACACGAATTATTTACAGAAAGCCTAAGCCTGAAATATCTAATGACACCTTAACGAGGAGAGTCCAGCTCATGTGCTTCAGAGGATGCAGGGGTACAGCCCTACACCCTACAGACTGACAGGGCTGGTGCTCCCATACAGCCAGTCCAGTGTTGTTTCCATCTAATGGGATACTGGAGGTGGCATGGATGAGGGACACCACGTGCACTACACATGCATTAAGTCGTGCATTCATTTACATAGGATTAACTGCATAACACGGTGCTGTTTTATATTTTAGACCCTCAGTTCACTTCCTTCCTCTACAAGTTCTAAGAAACTTTAGGTAAACTGGGAATTACAGATTCATAGGATAACTCAACTTTGAAGGGGCTTCAGGAGGTCTCGAGTCCAACCTCCTGCTCAGAGCAGGGTCAGTCAGGATGTCAGAATAGGAGGATACTCAGTGTTTTATCTAGTCTTCAAAATCTCTAACAATGGAAACTGCAAAACTACTCTGAGGCAACTTGTTCCAGCTGTCATGGTGAATCAACACTTCATTGTACTCAATCTAAACCTCTTCTTTCAATGTACGCCCTTGTGTACAAAGAGCATGGCTCCAATTTCTGTCAGTGTAAGTCAAACAAGTTCTTAAAATCCATCAAACAATACTAATTAACTATGATGAAGCCACTGTAAGACTGCCAATATGCTTTATCACCTCAGATACTCTCAGATGTGATCCTCCACTGCCTGACACCAAACGTAGCAATTTACACCAGTACAAGTCAAGCAGGCATCATTATATGTCCATGTTACACCTACCACATGACTAGACCAGGCCCAAAGCAATAGAGAATCAGGTTCTCTGACCATAAATCAGGAGAGAGAGGTCAGATACTCTGCCAGAGTATAAATTCCCCTCAACATACCTAATGATAGTAAACATGCAACAGGTGTAACACACCACCATTTATCTTGTCTCTGTTCCTGTCTAGTGATGCCAGGAATATTTAAACTTACTGTGATTTTCAAAACATGCAGTGGTCATCAAAAGATTATTGTCAAACATCTGTTTCATTATAAAAATACAGCAATCAAACAATTGCCAATTTGATTACTGCAGGAAAACAGAATGGGTGTAACAACCACCTGGCTGTGAAAATACTGGAAGAGGCCACTATGAATCATAAAACCATTATGGTTGGAAAGGACCTCAAAGATC